TCGGGTTTAGGGTTTAGGGTTTAGGGTTTAGGGTTTGATTCAAAAAAGGGTTTAGGGTTTAGGGTTTAGGACGGGACGAGGGTGACTTCAAAGTGCTTTGAGAAGCAGGAAAGCATATGGACCTGTAAGCTGCGGGTGTGTTTGGGACTTGCATTTCTGATGCCCAGACCGCACTTCGAAACAACAAAACTCTTTCAAAAGAAGCACGCCGAGTTTAGCCGAGCCCCGCCCAGGGCCTAGAAGCGAACACGTCACTCCCAACAACAATGGAAGCAAGCCGAGCCAAGCCAAGCCAACAACAGCAAAGTTGCACCTGGCAATAAAAGTCGGAGCCAAGCCGAGCCGAACCAAAAGAAAAGGCACCCAGCCGAGCCAAGCGGAATACCAAGCCACACCTAATTACGAACAAAATGAATTGACTGACTCCTCGGCAATCAAGTGAAGGCAGCTCGGACCACGCCCGACCCCTACCCCACCGCAACCCACAACCCACCCCACCCCACCTCACCCTGCCCCACCTCAACCCAAACCCACCCACCCACCCACCCACCCACCCACCCACCCACCCACCCACCCACCCACCCACCCAAGCAATCCCGCAAGCAGACAGCCCATGGGTTTTCCTGAAGCGAGGAGGCGGTCGACCTGGCTCGCAAGCTGCCGCAGTGGCACAAGCAGTTGAGCCAGATCTTGCCACAGAGCAGCATGGCCACAGCCTGACGTCACGAGGAAGTGTCGTCTTCTTCTGTAAGCTGGGGAAAGGAGGTTGGATGTTGAGGGAGCTAAGATTTTGCCTCAGATCATACCCAACCCTTCTACCCTAGTAGGCCCTATTAAAGCATCTCTTCTCCAATGTAGACTCTCCGAGAGCCAACACAGCGAGTCCGACGGTCCAAGGCGTCATTGCCGGTCTTGATGACAAGGCCAGCTTCAGGCGAGCACTGGCCATACTCTTCAGTCGCCGCTTCGGCATGCTCTGCGATGACAGCAAGGTCGCTGTTTGTGTGCCACTGGGTGACATGATCAACCATGCGGCCATAGCTAGCGTGGAGGTTCAGTATGACCAGGCATCGAGACGGCTGGCATTCGTCACCCAAGATACAGTCGTGGCTGGTGGCGAGCTTCTGATTTGCTATGGCCAGCTGGACAACCTGGAACTATGCACAAGCCATGGTTTCGTACTGCCACAGAACCCCTTGGATAGCATCGCGTTGGCTGATGGCGTCAAACTCACCCGAACATCCCAGCTGCAACTTCCAGCTCTGACGGAGGTTCAGCGCATGCTGGAAGACTTGCCCCCAAAAGAGGAGGATGAAGCGGTGTGGACTGATGCCAGAACCTCGCAGGGCTGCCGCGCCATTGCCAGTTTCCGGCTAAGCTACCGCCAGATGCTGCAGCAACTGCTGGATAGCCCTGCGCCTGGATAGCGTCCCATCTCAGACGGCTTCAGGAGAGGTCGACATCGTGCCGGCTGCCACTGCCCATGCGCGACGAGGAGCGCGAGTTTGCACAGCAAGTGCACGCTTTGGCGACGGGCCGGGCGGAAAAGGGGTGATTCTGCTGCCCTCCTGCCGTGGGTGCCTGCCGTTCTTCCCAGACAGCGAGAAATCGTTTGCACGACCGAGGCGCTACATGGCCGCAGTCCATGCCGCTGACAAGCATGCAAGGGCCTTATGAAGCCGCACATCATCAACCTGGGGGCCAAGCAGTTCTGCTCGCCATGATGTAAGGAGCACCTCCTCAAAACCTGCGGGAGAGGAAAGGCCTCTGCCTTGGACTGGGAGGGGCATTGGCACGTACAGCGGGAGGAACGCGAGGATCGGTGATGCACCCTGCGTAAGGTATGTTGCGTTCACTGAAGGGAACGACAAGGAAGAGGCCGGGTGCAGACTTGGCCCTTTTCTACGCGACGCGGCTTTGCCGCCGTGCGTGTGGCAGTTCGTGATTCAAACCCTAAGCGGGGACTTCGTGGCTGGGCCCTCAGAGCGAAGTTCACTTTCGCCTCCTTTGCCTTCGTGTGCTTCGTCATGTCCAGGTGAAGGGTGAGAACCACGGCCGGCCCTACTATCAGAAGCTGCAGCCACCCTAGCTTGTGCAGGGCAGGGCTTAACAGCAGAGCAGAGCACAGGATTCAATTGAGGCCCGTTAGACCAGGGACGGCGCCTCCAGAGGCAGACACGGGAGTGGAGGAAACTGCGCTGAGTCGAGTGAGTCGCGAGTGGCGCACGGGAAGGTGTACGTTTACTATTGGGACGGCCGCGATGGCTCCTCTTTCGAGGGCTGGTGGTTTGGAAAGGCTTCGCGCCGCGACTTGCGTGCAGCCCGCATCGCAGTGTTGGCTTCAGGCCGTTGGCGGTAACGAGGCTCGCCGAGTGGCTTCGGGCAGCACAGCGAGGCCCCGGCAACAGGCTGGCTTTTGACCTGCCAGGTTTGGTCGCACTGTTGACAACTCAGACCAAGCATCAGAGAATTCAGATATGCACATCAAGTCAAGAGATTTGAGAGCTTTGAGGCCCGGACAAGGCGTATCTGCCGCCCCTCAAAGGCTGGAAAATCCCTTTCCAGGGGCTCAGAACTTGGATTGTTTTACAACGGCGGTAGCACGCTTCAACGAGTTTGTGTGACAACTCGGCTGAGGCCACCACGCAACACCTTCTTGATGATGCCAAGGTCCTTGGCATGGGCGTACCAGAAAATTATGAAACAACAGGGAGAGCAGCAGTCTGAAACAAGCTTTTTTTGCAAATGGTTGCTGGTCGGCCGGGGTAAACTTTGGAGGAGCATCACCGCAGATTTTGCTGCTAGTCTCGTGGGCCATTTTGTGAGTCTATGTGGACTTGGGCATTCTGAAGATGCGACGACAGGACAGACAAAGTGAAGCGAGAAAACTCAGAACGCGCGGGTCGTGCCAAGGCAGGAAATCTTGCGCTGATCCCTAAACCCTAAACCCTAAACCCTTGTCATGCGAGAGGGAAAAAAAACCTTGTCAGGTTATGGAGCAGGAGGCGACCCATGTCATCAATGCAGCACAGAAAGCAGCCGACGAAGCAAGCTGCTGGCTCATCTCCGCCTTGGTCCCTGTTGAACCAATAAAGAGCACCAAACGACTAAGAAGCCACCTGCGAGCGGGATCATGGCAGCCGGGTGCCCGGCTGCTGCGTGAATAGTGTCTTCGATTTCTTCTGAGAACAGCGTTGGGCATCCGCAGTGGCTGTGAGGCCTTGACCCGACGCTTCTGAAGGAGACGGAGGCGGATGCATTGGGCGGGGCGGTTGTGCCGAGAGTGACGAAACTGCTGGGTGACGTATCCTGGTTGTGTCACGCTGGACTGCCAGATGCGCGAACATCTAGGGTCTTCAAGAGTGCACGCGAACTGGAATCGTTTGTCTGCAGTAGGCTACACACCCGTTGTTTGTTCAGGCAGCGCTGAAGCCGCACCTCCAGGCTCGCAGAGGAATGTGGAGAGTTGGAAGAGATGAGCAGATTAGCCGTTGCATGCAGCCGATGTTTGGATGCTTTTGCCATGGGCGTGCGCAGGCCCTTATCGATCAGCTCAAAGTGCTGGAGACATGTGGCCTAGGCGAATCCATGTATGCAGACTCGCAGCCCCTGTTGTTACGACGTGTGCAGGTGATGCCATACGGGCAGTGGAGCTGGGATCTGAAATTCTGCACACAGTTTTTTGCTGACAAGCAAGGCATGCAAGTGCAAAGTTTAAAGTGGCTACAAGGACACGCGTCAGACGGACGCACGCTGCAGCGACCGACGCTGCGACCAAGATCAAGGCCGGATCCCTGCTTCGGTGCTGTGACGTTCGGAGTTGTGACATTCCCTCGCAGGTTCTCATACCAACGGCCGGGTCCTCTGATCTTGCTCGGCTCTGATCGTGGTCAAAGCGCGTGCTCAACGGTCGTGCTAGGTTATGAGGGTGCAACATGAAAAACTTTCCGAGCAGCGAGCCAACAACTTGGCTTGCACCGGCATCCTCGAATGTCCAGCTCTTCATGGAATTCAAAACTGAGGATGAGAAACTTTTGAAAGAGATGCTCGCTTCGATCATGGAAAAGTTCCATGAAGCAGAGGTTCACACGCAACGCTATCCTAGTTGTTTGGCTCTGCATGACACTTCAACTGAGTGCTGCCTGGTTGTGAGATGTTGAGAAAAATGTTTTTTGAAGGACTTAGTGGAAAAGGCTGAGATTACCTCGGCCATGATCGAACACGCACCGTCCTGATACCATTTGGGGCAGCCTAGTAGGATCGTCACACAGCAATCGCGTGCTCGAAATCCCAGGCTGGCGATGACTTAGCCGAGGCGCAGAAGGCGGCAGAACAGACCGAGGAGCGCACCTCTAAGACGGCTTGAACTTGGGCACCGATGTGCAGTCTGCTCAAGGAGTCGGCTAAACAAGCAGCCGCCGCGGTGCCTCGACAAATGCAGCGTAGCCCTGGAATCATCAAGGATGTGCCGTCGTTGTCGCTTTGTGAAATAGAGAATATAGAAAATACTTCCAAAGGCAGGGGAGGCCCAGTGTCCATCTTTGAAATTGCTCACTCGCAGTAGCTTGTGAAAGCGTGAGGTCAAAGAAGCACTGACAGCCTGTGCCTTAAATGCTGCACGCCACAACCATACAGAATAGACAGCGAAGCGGTCTGGCCAGTGAAGTGCCAAGGCAATTGGCTTGAAGCTGGGCATGCTAAAGCAGTTCGAGAGTGATCAGGGTCGGCTGAAGGCCTGTTGTAGTTTGCAGTTGCTGAGTCTTTGCAGAGCTTTGAGACTGGCACAATTCACAGGCCACAGACTCCTTGGGCACATTCCGCGAGAAACTGCGAGTAGCAAACCAGCGGCTCGACCTGTAAAGGAAGGAGCACTGGCGAAACGACAGAGATACAGAGACCACTTTCTGCCAGCTTTGTGAGAACCAAGGAAGCTGCTACCTTTCTTGGCAGCTCAAGACACCTTCAAGGCGCAGGTGGAGGCCAAAAATCTCTCTGACGAGATGGAGGCCAAGCTGATGCCTGCAGAGGCCCACGGCACTTGACGGCACCGGGGCCATCACGCCCCCGAGATGAAATCCGACCTGAACCTTGAGGTTGAGGTTGAACGCGCAGAAACCATCGCGGAGCCCTTGCTCAACTTCGCAGAGGTGGGATGCCCCGCCCCCCCTCCCCCCCCCTCCACTCGCTTAAGCACAGAAGCTGCCACGAAGCAGGCAGCTCTGGCTGCGGGTCAAGCTGCCGCAGAAGCGACCGCGACGCCCAAAGCGAGCCTTGGCGGACACGAGCTCTCTCAAAGGCAGATGGCCCAGCAAGCCTTTGCTGTTCCATGCCACCGCCAGGAAAGCAAAGACCAAGGAGAAGGAATCATCGAAGCCGGCCAAGAAAAAGGGTGAGAAGCACGAGCTTCCAACCGCTGAGGTGCAACAGAGGGTGTGTCTGTTTTCGCCCACAGGACCCCAGCCCTAAACCCTAAACCCTAAACCCTGAACCCTAAACCCTAAACCCTGACCCCTAAACCCTAAACCAGCCAGTATCGTGGTGGACCTTGCCAGGCTTGTCCGAGTGTGAGTGTCAAAAAAAAACCAGCCTTTCTGAGGTGGTGGCGCTGGCAGCAAAACACGCAGCAGAAGCAGCCGTGAACCTTCAGGGAGTGCAGAAGCTGCTGGACCAGAAGCGATCCTTGGATGCTACTATGATAGTATAGTATATATATATATATACACATACACACACACACATATATATATATATACTATATTAGAATATAGTAAAGTATAGTATATTATATTATAATATAATATAGCCTGGAAAGTGTGGCTGCAGTGCAGAGTTTCCGAGTCCGACATGTGACCTGCCATGCAGTGTCAGCTCGCTGACGGTGCCAAGTGGGAGCCAAAAAATAATATAGTATATTATATTATACTATATTGTATTATATTATACTATATTGTATTATATTATATTATATGATATTATATTATATTATATTATATTATATTATATTATATTATATTATATTATATTATATTATACTATATATATTACTATATCATATTATATTATAATATATTATATTATATTATA